GTCACAATAAACTAGCCACTACCATCCAAGGATGGATATGAGGTACACAATAAACTAGCCACTACCATCCACAGGATGGATATGAGGTACACAATAAACTAGCCACTACCATCCACAGGATGGATATGAGGTACACAATAAACTAGCCACTACCATCCACAGGATGGATATGAGGTACACAATAAAACTAGCCACTACCATCCACAGGATGGATATGAGGTACACAGTAAACTAGCCACTACCATCCACAGGATGGATATGAGGTACACAGTAAACTAGCCACTACCATCCACAGGATGGATATGAGGTACACAATAAACTAGCCACTCTCACTGCATATGTAGGTACAATAGTATGCTCACTCATACAATGATACCACTGTACTCACTCACTCATACAATGATACCACTGTACTCACTCACTCATACAATGATACCACTGTGCTCACTCACTCATACAAGGATACCACTGTGCTCACTCACTCATGCAAGGATACCACTGTGCTCACTCACTCATGCAAGGATACCACTGTACTCACTCACTCATATAATGATACCACTGTACTCACTCACTCATACAAGGATACCACTGTGCTCACTCACTCATACAAGGATACCACTGTGCTCACTCACTCATACAAGGATACCACTGTGCTCACTTACTCATGCAAGGATACCACTGTGCTCACTCACTCATACAATGATACCACTGTACTCACTCACTCATACAAGGATACCACTGTGCTCACTCACTCATGCAAGGATACCACTGTACTCACTCACTCATACAAGGATACCACTGTGCTCACTCACTCATACAAGGATACCACTGTGCTCACTCACTCATGCAAGGATACCACTGTGCTCATTCACTCATACAAGGATACCACTGTGCTCACTCACTCATGCAAGGATACCACTGTACTCACTCACTCATACAAGGATACCACTGTGCTCACTCACTCATACAAGGATACCACTGTGCTCACTCATACATACAATGATACCACTGTACTCACTCATACATACAATGATACCACTGTGCTCACTCATACATACAATGATACCACTGTACTCACTCATACATACAATGATACCACTGTACTCACTCATACATACAATGATACCACTGTACTCACTCATACATACAATGATACCACTGTGCTCACTCATACATACAATGATACCACTGTACTCACTCATACATACAATGATACCACTGTACTCACTCATACATACAATGATACCACTGTGCTCACTCATACATACAATGATACCACTGTACTCACTCATACATACAATGATACCACTGTGCTCACTCATACATACAATGATACCACTGTACTCACTCATACATACAATGATACCACTGTACTCACTCATACATACAATGATACCACTGTACTCACTCATACATACAATGATACCACTGTACTCACTCTTACATACAATGATACCACTGTGCTCACTCATACATACAATGATACCACTGTACTCACAAAATCTGTGAATATTCGGGCAATTATTTTTGGCAATGCAGTGTCGGTCAATGGTCCAGGACCACACTGAAACACCAGCAACAGCAGAGCAACAGCAGCACTTGCTGCATCAGCAGTCGAAGCAACAGCAGCCTCACCACCACAAGCAGCAGTAGCAGCAGCAGCAGCAGCAGCAGCAGCAGCAGCAGCAGCAGCAGCAGCAGCAGCAGCTGCAGCAGCAGCAGGAGCTGCTTCCCTAGGATCAACAGCATCAGTAACAACAATAACAGCCGTAGAATCAACAGCAGCTGCCCCGTGTCACCACTGCTATCAGCAGCGAAATAGCAATATCACTAACAGCAGCTGCACAGCCTATAACAACAGCAACAACAGCAACAACAACAGCAACAACAGCAACAACAACAGTAGCAACAACAGCACTAAAACAGCACTAACAACAGCACTTGACCCTCGACTTCCGCCAGAAACTTTTGTAACAACAGCTCAAGAGGGATAAAACCGCGTTTATTACCTTCTTAAAGCTCTAAACCCATCGGAATAAGAGAAATTTTCACCCCAAGGAAGAGTAGATCAGGTCTCACTCCTTGGATCAAGAGCCTCTCACTAGCATCAAGGAACCTCCCTTGAGTGGAAGGAAATAGAGGACATGCAACTTGCAACAGAGTCGAGAGAGATGCAGAATTTTTTGCTGAGTTGAATATTAGCTTGAAGTTGATCATAGCAACAAGACCCGCACTGACCTGTACCTCCAGTAGTCTGTACCGTCAGTAGTCTGTACCTCCAGTAGTGTGTACCGTCAGTACTTTGTACCTCCAGTAGTCTGTACCTCCAGTAGTCTGTACCGTCAGTAGTCTGTACCTCCAGTAGTGTGTACCGTCAGTACTTTGTACCTCCAGTAGTCTGTACCTCCAGTAGTCTGTACGTCAGTAGTCTGTACCTCCAGTAGTGTGTACCGTCAGTACTTTGTACCTCCAGTAGTTTGTACCGTCAGTAGTCTGTACCTCCAGTAGTGTGTACCGTCAGTACTTTGTACCTCCAGTAGTCTGTACCGTCAGTAGTCTGTACCGTCAGCAGTCTGTACCGTCAGCAGTCTGTACCTCTAGTAGTCTGTATAACTAACCCTAGTTAAGATATCTAACCCTTGTCAAGATAAGCAAGTGTCGTGTTACAGTACATTTTAATTGATTCCTCATAGCTATAACGCTACACTCCCCTAGCTATCTATTAGTCAGTGAGACGGGCATCCATTAAGTCCACATAATGTGTGTAATGAGCGTGTTTCAGCATCCACCAATTTCCTGACCTGAGACTATAGTCAGCATCCACCAACCTCCTGACCTGACATAGTCAGCATACACCAGCCTCCTGACCTGATATAGTCAGCATCCACCAACCTCCTGACCTGATATAGTCAGAATCCACCAACCTCCCGTTACCGTCAAATTATCGTCCAATAAGCCTATCTCAATTGTAGGTAAATTACTAGTCATTTAGAGTTGATATTATAAGAAGCCATCTTGATAGGCATAATTTGATTAATGATATTCAGCATCTATTAACGAGGAGCCGTTCTTGGCTAACTAAATTATTAACCTTCTTCAGTAAAGCTTTTGAGGCTGTTGATCATGATAAAGAATTCGATATTGTTATTTAGATTTTAGTAAGGTTTTGGATAAAGTACTGCACCAGAGACTGTTAAAGAAAGTGGCAGCTCATGGCACTGGAAAAGTGGATCGAGTCATAACTCGCGAACAGGAAGCAGAGAGTGTCAATAAATGGGGTTAAATCCGAGTGGGGATCTGTAACAAGTGGCGTTCCACAGGGATCAGTCTTGGGCCCGTTGTTGTTTATAATATATATATCAATGACACCTCAAAGAATTTTTTGGTAGCGTTGTGGTCCCTCCTGGACCATCGTCAACATAAGAAAGAAATAACACTGCAGCAGGACTACTGGCTCATGCTAGGTAGGTCCAAGTCACACCCGAGTGACGAGGTTCATTGATGATATAAACCTTAGTAATTGATACCCAGAAACCGGTTTAGAAAAACAGGACCGAAACGTTTATTGTGGCTATTTTCATATCACATACTTTGGAAAAAATAAAACGCGTCAGGAATAACTAGCTAGCAACTTAACAACTTTCTCACATACTTAAAAACCTACAACGTTAGTGCTGTGAAGGCGTGTTGAAGCATATATCTCAAGAATACTTGCAACACAGTGGGACAGTTCTTTCAATAATTCTGCAACAAACCAGCATAACTTACCAGCCAGCGAGTAGGTGAAGAAACACACGTCTCGGTTCATAACGATGCCTTCATCAGTCTGCAGGAAGAAAATAAAGGAGGGGTTGGTTAATGCAGTTTAAAGTCTGTGTATAATAAGGCAGTCATTAAAACTCCGTGTCACCTTCTTCAATTTAATATATATATATATATATATATATATATATATATATATATATAGTATATATATATATATATATATATATATATAAGAGAGGTGAATTTTGCAACAAGGAGAAGGCTGGAGGCAGTGGAGATGTCATGTCTGAGGGCAATGTGTGGTGTGAATATAATGCAGAGAATTCGTATCTTGGAAATTAGGAGGAGGTGCGGGATTATTAAAACTATTATCCTGAGGGCTGAGGAGGGGTTGTTGAGGTGGTTTGGATATTTGGGGACGATGGAACAAAAGAGATTGACGACTTAGAAGGTGTATAAATCTGTAGTGGAGAGAAGGCGAGGTAGGGGTCGGCCTAGGAAAGGTTTGAGGGGGTAAATGAGGTTTTGTATGCGAGGGGCTTGGACTTCCAGCAAGCGTGCATGAGCATGTTAGGAGCGAATGGAGACAAATGGTTGGGGTGTGAGAAACGTAGCATTTATGAAGGGATTCAGGGAAACCAGATAGCAGAACTTGAGTCCTGGAGGTGGGAAGTACAGTGTCTGCAATCTGAAGGAGGCGTGTTATTAATGTTGCAGTTTTGTAACTGTAGTATAGGTTCTCCTCTGACCAGACAATGATGGAGTGAATGATGAGGAAAGTGTTTCTTTTTTTTTGGGGGGGGTAACCTTGCCTTGGTGGGAAAAGGACGATGTGTTAGTTACACGAGCAGTTTACATATTAATGCATCCACAAGAGAAGAGGAGCGACATCTCTTAGTCCTACTAGGCACCTGTTGTATGTGACACTGATGGTTCAGTGGTTTAGGGCGTCTTGAATTTTGACAGGCTACCAGGGTGGCGTTAATATGTATATTGAATTCCTTCATTACGTGTCGTCATTAGTGTTATACGGAGTTACCTTGCTTGGTTCTTCAGTCTTTAGGAGTAATTAGTGTTAGTAGATTGGTGTGGGCGGCATCCTGGGGGACATGATTAAAAGACCACAATGGAAATAAGACAGACAGTCCTTGATGACACACTGACTTTCTTGGGTTATCCAATCTTACTAACACACGGTTTATAATCCCAACAAAATCATATCTTAAGAACATAAGAAAGGAGGAACACTGCAGCAGGCCTGTTGGCCCATACTAGGCAGGTCCTTTACAATTCATCCCACTAACAAACATTTGACCAACCCAATTTTCAATGCTACTCAAGAAACAAGCCCCGATGTGCAAGTCCCACTCAAATCCAACCCCTCCCACTCATGTACTTATGCAACCTAGATTTGAAACTACCCAAAGTCCTAGCCTCAATAACCCAACTAGGTAGACTGTTCCACTCATCAACTACCCTATTTCCAAACCAATACTTTCCTATGTCCTTTCTAAATCTAAACTTATCTAATTTAAATCCATTACTGCGGGTTCTCTCTTGGAGAGATATCCTCAAGACCTTGTTAATATCCCCTTTATTAATACCTATCTTCCACTTATACACTTCGATCAGGTCTCCCCTCATTCTTCGTCTAACAAGTGAATGTAACTTAAGAGTCTTCAATCTTTCTCCATAAGGAAGATTTCTATGTTATAGAAGCCGTTGTTCTGGTTGAAATTGTTGGTTATAGAGATAGACAGATAGATATCTTGTCTGATACTTGTCTGGTACTTGGGTAGGTGCTTGCCTGCCTGCCTGCCTGCCTGCCTGCCTGCCTGCCTGCCTGCCTGCCTGCCTGTCTGCCTGCCTGCCTGCCTGCCTTCCTGCCTGCCTGCCTGTCTGCCTGCCTGCCTGCCTTCCTGCCTGCCTGCCTGTCTGCCTGCCTGCCCTGCCTGCCTGCCTGTCTGCCTGCCTGCCTGCCTTCCTGCCTGCCTGCCTGCCTGCCTGCCTGCCTGCCTGCCTGCCTGCCTGCCTGCCTGCCTGCCTGTCTGCCTGCCTGCCTGCCTGCCTTCCTGCCTGTCTGCCTGCCTGCCTGCCTGCCTGCTTGCCTGCCTGCCTGCCTGCCTGTCTGCTACCTACATCACCATAACAACAACAGCTGACCGATTCTCAGTTCTGTCAACTTAATATTGTTATTGCTAAGTTCTCTAAGATTAGTCAGTGCCAGTCTAAAACGTTCATCGTTGTTTTACCGCAGAACCAATGTGAAAAAATGAGAGGAAATAAGTGTTAAAAATTCTACACATTTCCATATCATTGTAAGTGAGTTGACCTGAGTAACTTTTGAGCTGAGATTAAGACACATGTGCAACATCTGGGTATCTTTATTGTAGACGTTTCGCCATCCAGTGGCTTTATCAATACAAATTCTAGGACATAACTTGAAGACAGTAGAACTATGTACAGAAGATGAGGTAATCAGTCCCTCAACCTAGGAGTAGGTGCGAAGAGCACCATAGCACTGTCTTCAAGTTATGTCCTAGAATTTGTATTGATAAAGCCACTGGATGGCGAAACGTCTACAATAAAGATACCCAGATGTTGCACATGTGTCTTAATCTCATCTTGTCGGTATTATATACCATTCGTACACAACTTTTGAGCTGGATTATCTTGTCCCTAATCTTAAATAACAAAAAAGGCACAATACCGTGACTGGAACGACACACAAATAACCCGCACATAAAAGAGAGAAGTTTACGACGACGTTTCGGTCCGACTTGTACCATTTACAAAGTCACATTAGCCAGAAGTGGAGCAGGACGGCTATATATAGGCAGGAAGAGGTGGTGGTAATAGTAGTACCACCATTCTTGTACTACTACTACTACTACTACTACTACTACTACTACTACTACCACCACCACCTCTTCCTGTCTATATATAGCCGTCCTGCTCCACTTCTGGTTAGTGTGACTTTGTAAATGGTCCAAGTCGGACCGAAACGTCGTCGTAAGCTTCTCTCTTTTATGTGCGGGTTATTTGTGTGTCCCTAATCTTACTTCTGTATACCTGAAAGAACACTTCTGCGTTACTCTTCGAATCCTGTGCGACTCTGGCCTCATAATTTTTTCTTGCTTTTCTTATTCCCTTTTATATTTCTCACTTTAATTAAATACATATATGAATTCTTAACCGCCCCTTTACTCTTTTAATTCACCTATATAAATGCCTCTCTTTTGACCAATGAGATGTTTAAGTCTATTGTTTATCCATTTCGGATCCTTTTTGCTTGATTTAATTTCTCCTTTTGGAACATACGTTGTCTGGGCAGCTAGAACTATGCTCTGAAAAAGCCATATTGGCAACCATCACCACCTACCTGACCCATAGTCAGGTCATTCCAGTTCAACCCACCCAGATAATTTCATAGTTGTATGAAATCGGCCAAGCAAAAGTCTAGGACAGAGACTTGACTGTAGTTATTAGGATAATTCCATAGTATATTAAAAGTAAGTGACTGGTGATCACTTTCCCCAAGCTCATCATTAACCTCAGGATTATTAATTAGTGATTCTTTGTTGGCAAGAACCAGGTCAAGCAGGTTATTCCTGTTAGGTAAGACACATATGCAACAGTTAGGTATCTTTATTTCGAAACGTTTCGCCTACACAGTAGGCTTCTTCAGTCGAGTACAGAAAAGTTGATAGAAGCAGAAGATACTTGAAGACGATGTAATCAGTCCATCACCCTTAAAGTTTTGAGGTGGTCAGTCCCTCAGTCTGGAGAAGAGCATTGTTCCGTTGTCTGAAACAATATGAAGTTGAAGTGACAGAATGGGGCTTTATATAGTGCCAGGAGGTGAGACGTAGGTTGCTTTGGGAGGGCAGGTCCCTCTCAAACCCAGCCGTTCTCACCAGTAGAGGTTGTCGAAGTTGATGGTCTGTACCAAGATACCCTTGTGTTGCAGTGTCTGACAGAATGAACATTAAAATGGTATAAAATACCGACAGATTGTTAGGTAAGACACATATGCAACAGTTAGGTATCTTTATTTCGAAACGTTTCGCCTACACAGTAGGCTTCTTCAGTCGAGTACAGAAAAGTTGATAGAAGCAGAAGATACTTGAAGACGATGTAATCAGTCCATCACCCTTAAAGTTTTGAGGTGGTCAGTCCCTCAGTCTGGAGAAGAGCATTGTTCCGTTGTCTGAAACAATATGAAGTTGAAGTGACAGAATGGGGCTTTATATAGTGCCAGGAGGTGAGACGTAGGTTGCTTTGGGAGGGCAGGTCCCTCTCAAACCCAGCCGTTCTCACCAGTAGAGGTTGTCGAAGTTGATGGTCTGTACCAAGATACCCTTGTGTTGCAGTGTCTGACAGAATGAACATTAAAATGGTATAAAATACCGACAGATTGTTAGGTAAGACACATATGCAACAGTTAGGTATCTTTATTTCGAAACGTTTCGCCTACACAGTAGGCTTCTTCAGTCGAGTACAGAAAAGTTGATAGAAGCAGAAGGGACCTGCCCTCCCAAAGCAACCTACGTCTCACCTCCTGGCACTATATAAAGCCCCATTCTGTCACTTCAACTTCATATTGTTTCAGACAACGGAACAATGCTCTTCTCCAGACTGAGGGACTGACCACCTCAAAACTTTAAGGGTGATGGACTGATTACATCGTCTTCAAGTATCTTCTGCTTCTATCAACTTTTCTGTACTCGACTGAAGAAGCCTACTGTGTAGGCGAAACGTTTCGAAATAAAGATACCTAACTGTTGCATATGTGTCTTACCTAACAATCTGTCGGTATTTTATACCATTTTAATGTTCATTCTGTCAGACACTGCAACACAAGGGTATCTTGGTACAGACCATCAACTTCGACAACCTCTACTGGTGAGAACGGCTGGGTTTGAGAGGGACCTGCCCTCCCAAAGCAACCTACGTCTCACCTCCTGGCACTATATAAGCCCCATTCTGTCACTTCAACTTCATATTGTTTCAGACAACGGAACAATGCTCTTCTCCAGACTGAGGGACTGACCACCTC